GGAGTCTACTTTTAAAAAAATAAAATAAAATAAAAAGTAAAAATCTGTAAGGCATATTACTGGGATGATCAGGGATATTTTGTTTTATTTTTTAAAGGATATTTTAATATAGGCCTATATTAGATTATAGTGTAGTATTAATGTAAAAATTCCCTACATGTGATCATTGTGTCGTTATGGAGGAGGCTAAGGAGATGTCCTCTTTTATGAAAGGAACATATTGGGGCAGCCCGGGTGGCTCAGTGGTTTAGTGCCGCCTTCGGCCCAGGGTGTGATCCTGAAGACCCGGGATCAGGATTGAGATAGGGATTGGGATCGAGTCCCATGTGGGACTCCCTGTGTGGAGCCTGCTTCTCACTCTGCCTATGTCTCTGCCAGTCTCTCTGTGTGTCTCTCATGAATAAATAAATAAAATCTTAAAAAGTAATAATAATAATAAAATAAATTTTAAAAATTAAAAAAAAAATGGTTCCAGGGCACCTGGGTGGCTCAGTCAATGAAGCATCTGCCTTTGGCTCAGGTCATGATCTAGGGGAGATTGAGCCCTGAGTCGGGTTCCCTGCTTCTCCCTCTCCCTTTGCCCCCACTCCATGCTCATGCTCTCTATCTCAAATCAATAAATAAAATCTTTTAAAAACTGGCTCCAATAAATAAATACCCAGAAAGTAAATGCACTCTGCCCCCAACCCTCGCCACTGAAACATTAATCAATGGTTGGTTAACATGCACTCATTTTCTGATCTCAGCTCAAATGTCACTCCCTCTGTGGAAGCTGTCTCTAACATTTCAGCTAGGCCAGGTGCCTCAGCTATAAGCACCTGTGACAGCCAGGCCCCTCAGATGAATTGCAATAATTCTCACTATGTATTATTGTCCCTTGCTATGTAAGATATGGTTGATCTGTGTACCAACAAGATATGGCACAAGTGAAAGGGCGTGACGGCTGAGGCAAGGTCATAAAAGACATTGCTGCTTTGGCCTTGCCCTTTCTTGGATCATTCACTCTAGGGGGAAAATAGCTGCCATATGAGGACACTCATGTGTCCTTGTGGGAAGGTCCATCTGGTGAGGAACTGAGTCCTCCTGTCAAGAGCCAGCATATTTAGGGCACTCTCTCTGTCAATAAATGAATAAAATGTAAGAAAAAAAAAAAAGACAGCATTAATTGGGCAATCCTAGGAGTGACCCATCTGGATGAATCCAATCGAGCTTTCAAATGACTGCATTCCTAGCTGATGTCTTTTTTTTTAAGGTTTTATTTCATTTTAGTTTTTTTTTTTTTTCATTTTAGTTTTTAAAGATTTTATTTGAGAGAGAGCCAGAGGACAGCAGGGGGAGGGGCAGAGGGACAGGAAGAAGCAGACTCCCTGCTGAGTAGGGAGCCCAATGCAGCTCCATTCCAGGACCCTGAGATCATGACCTGAGGCAAAGGCAGATGTTTAACTGTCTGAGCCACGGAGGTGCCCCCACCCCCACCAGCTGATGCCTTGATTGCAACCTGGTGAGATACTCCAAGCTAGAACCACCCAGTTAAACTACTCCCAAATTCCTGACCCACAGAAACTGAGTGAGATGAGAAATATTGTTTGCGAAGTAGATTTTTTAAAAAAGATTTTTATATATTTATTCATGAGAGACACAGGGAGAAGGCAGAGACATAGGCAGAGGGAAAAGCAGGCTCCCTGTGGGAAGTCTGATGCGGGACTCGATCCCAGGACCCTGGGATCACGTGACCTGAGCCACCCAGGCGTCCCTGCGAAGGAGTTTTAAATAAAATTTACTTGCATAATGTCCTTTAAGTCTGTTTTCCCTGCCAGACCATGAATGTTGTCTGGGTGGGGACAGTGTCTGTTTTCTTGATACCTGTTCATTCATTCATTCGACAAATGTTTACTTAACACCAGACTTGTACTAGGCTCTGAGCTGAACCCTGGAAATCAGGGCTGGAATAAGGTGAGGCAAGCAAGGTATCCAGGGTACAAACTTCAAGGAGATGCTTACTTTCAGGCTTGTGCAAGGGCTGGGTCAGCACCTAAGAGTGAGTGCTCTTTTAAATTTTACACCCTGGGCACCTTGTTTACCTTATCTCAGTCCCAGTTCTATTAGAGATAGAGCAGTGCACAAGATAGAAATGATCCTTAACCTTTTTTTAAAGATTTTTATTTATTTATTCATGAGAGACACACAGAGAGGGAGTGAAGCAGAGACACAGGCAGAGGGAGAAGCAGGCTCCATGTAAGGAGTCCGATATGGGATTTGATCCTGGGACTCCAGGATCATGCCCGGGGCCACAGGCAGGCGCTAAACCACTGAACCACCCAGGGATCTCAATCCTTAAACTCTTTTTGCCCTTGCAATAATTCCATAGCGGTGTGTTGGTTCTTCTGCTGATACTACACTTTTAATTTACATTGTTCTATTATATGCTTTGTTTCTATTAGGATTGAGTCTTTCTTCAGTATCTATAGTAATACTTTACTGAGTGCTTACCAAGTGTCACCATATTCTAGATGATGTAGATACGTTAATAGACAGCGTCCCTGCCCTCAACCACCTAACGGGAGATGTAGACAACACGGCTCCCAGTGAAATCATTAAAAATTGTAATAAAGGCTATTGTTACCAGATCAAAGCAGGTCCCCTCCTCTGTGAGTTATAGACAGAGATTACACTAGGTGGAGTTACCACACAAAGTCATCACTTGTTTGTACAAATAAGGAGATTACGGGGGAAAATTTCCAAAGGTGTGACTCCCCAAACAAGGGTAAGCAGCCTCCTTTCATGAGGGGCTTGGGATGAATATTCCTCATCCCTCAGAGAGGGGGACACCTGGGTGGCTCAGTGGTTGAGCATCTGCCTTTAGCTCAGGTTGTGATCCCTGGGTCCTGGATCAGGTCCCACATCAGGCTCCCTGCAGGGAGCCTGCTTCTCCCTCTGCCTATGTCTCTGCCTATCTGTGTGTCTTTCATGAATAAATAAATAAAATCTTTAAAAAGATACTCAGAGAGGAATTTTAACGTTATAATGAAGCTGAGGTAACTATTAGGCATTTTCTGACTCATCTGCACAGGCATCTTATCCTCCAATATTTCTTTTCCTGTTCCAGCAATTCATTATAGTTAGTTTCTTTTCTTTTCTTTTCTTTCTTTCTTTCTTTCTTTCTTTCTTTCTTTCTTTCTTTCTTTTTAAATAACTGGGTGAATCTTTTTTTTCTGTTTTGTTTTTTTTTTTAAGATTCTATTTATTCATTCATGAGAGACACAGAGAGAGAGAGGCAGAGACATAGGCAGAGGGAGAAGCAGGCTCCATGCAGGGAGCCGGATATGGGACTCGATCCCGGGACTCCAGGATCACGCCATGGGCCAAAGGCAGGCGCCAAACCGCTGAGCCACCCAGGGATCCCCCTATAGTTAGTTTCTTAAGGATGAAAGTGAGAGGCAGAAGCTTCTAGGAGTTTCCTGAACCACAGGGGACCATGGGGTCTCCCCAGTGACACTACTAAAAAAAATCAAACTAACCTATAGAATTGTTGGGGATAGGAGAAAGGGACCTTTGTACCCAGGGTCCTCTATGCAGGTCTGTGGAAGTGGTGTTTAAGGTAAAAGAAGAAAAAAGGGGGATCCCTGGGTGGCGCAGCAGTTTGGCGCCTGCCTTTGGCCCAGGGCACGATCCTGGAGACCCGGGATCGAATCCCACGTCAGGCTCCCGGTGCATGGAGCCTGCTTCTCCCTCTGCCTATGCCTCTGCCTCTTCTCTCTCTCTGTATGACTATCATAAATAAATAATAAAAGAAGAAGAAGAAGAAGAAAAAAGGCCAACCACAGAATGAATGAGGGAAGGCCATGTAGGGAATAGCAAGCGTAAAGGAAAGTCGCTTAGTTAGGAAAGAACTTGGCCCATTTGAGTAACTGAAAGGAGACAACTGTACTCTATTACCTGATGTATGTTAACAATGAGCCTTCATGATGTTAACTAGCATGTATTGAGCGCTTGCGAGGTGTCAAACACAGTGATAAGTACTTTGGAAACTTACTGAGGCTTTATAAAGATTTTTATTTTATTTATTCAAGAGAGACACACAGAGAGGCAGAGACATAGGCAGAGGGTAAAACAAGCTCCCTCTGAGGAGCATGATGCAGACTCGATTCCAGGACCCCGGATTCATGACCTGAGTCAAAGGCAGACGCCCAACCACTGAGCCACCCAGGTGCTCCCTTCCTGATGCTTTAAAACAACCATACTGGGATCCCTGGGTGGCGCAGCGGTTTGGCACCTGCCTTTGGCCCAGGGCGCGATCCTGGAGACCCAGGATCGAATTCCACGTCGGGCTCCCAGTGCATGGAGCCTGCTTCTCCCTCTGCCTGTGTCTCTGCCTCTCTCTCTCTCTCTGTGACTATCATAAATAAATAAAAATTTAAAAAAAAAAGATTTAAAACAACCATACTGTGGTGACCTCTTGATCACTCCTGTTTACAGATGAAGAAACTGAATTTAGAGGTGAAATCATTGTCCCAAAGTCCCCTGGTAGGAAATGCAGTGACAGGATTTGTACACAGTTCTGACTCTCAAAATAATTATCTTAAACCACAGTCCATTTCCCATAGGGAAACATTCGAGATATTTTAAACAAAGCACTAGGTGAGCGCAGAAAGAGTTACATTTCGAGCTCCCACAGCCGAGTTCCTTACTGAAAACTACTATTTCCAGCATGCACTTCTTCTTGCCTTGGGAGGATGGGGGTGGACGCAGGGCTACCAGAACTACATTTCCCAGAATGCAAGTCCCCATTGCTGGCTGACACGCAGGTCGTGAATTGTAGTCCTCGGAAGAGACATTCGCCCGCAACTCCCGGTATGCATTCGGGGTCAGTACTACGTGGTGGGAAAAGGACAGTCACGCGGCCTTTTGGGAAGCCGGATCGGCCCTTTTTCCCAGGCCTGCAGCCTGACTGAGCGAAAGCATTCTTGAGACTACACTTCCCAGTGGGCTGTGCGCGAGAGGGCGGGCGAGTTCTTCTGCCGGAAGTCCGCTCTAGCCCTGGGTCCCCTAACTGCTGCGAGAGCCGGAGCTGCCCAGGAGCCGCGGGACCGGGGCCGCTGGGGTCAGGACGGGGGTCGCCATGGTAACGGCGGCGCGCCCACGTTGGGGCCGGGCGGAGGGTGGGTCCACGTGCAGGTACTCGAGGCTCGGTCGGGTACTGACAAGCCTCCCCTGCCGCGGTGCGTTGGTTTGGGCCGGGCGCGGGCTCTCGGGATTGGGGCCGACCCGAGGCCCGGGGCAAGGGGGCAGCTGCGCGGTGATTCTGGGCGCGGGAGTGCGCCGGAGGGCTCGACGCCAGGGGACAGTAGAGGCCGGGTGCCAAGGGGAGAGGGCTGTGCGGGAGGGAGACATTGGAGATGACTGAGGAGGTGGAGGTTGAAATGGGGAGGCAACTCGCGAAGCGGGATCTCGAGGTGGGGAGACGGGATTGGAGGTAGGGTGGGGGCGTCTTACGAGGAGGGCGCTCTGGGAGTGTGGCAGGATAGTTGGGGAATGGGAGACACTGGGACGGGAGAGAAGGAGTCTTTAGAAGCCGGAAGCTGACAATGAAGGCAGAGAGAGGGTGTTGAAACGGGAGGGGTACTCCTGATGAGAGCGAGAATCTCTAGGGGAGGAGACTGGGCTCTGGAGATGGGAAGTCGGCTACTGTGCAGAATGGGGCTTTCGAGTCCAGGGAAGTGTGCTGCAAAGCGGGAGGAGGCTCAGAAGGTGGGAGCGAATATTAGAAATGGATGGGGAGGAGTGGACCAGATCTTTCCAAGAAGGAGAGGTCTTGAGTGGGAGCAGGCAGGGAAGTGTGAGAGATAGGGAAGGAGCTTTTGGAGCAAGGACTGGGCTTTGGATTTGCCTACCCTCCCTCAGGGTGGGTCTTTGGACCTTAAGCAAGGATCCTTTGGGCAGGGAGCCGGAAAAAGATGATTGGAGGTGGGTGTCAGAATGAGGAGGAAGCCTCCTCCACAAAGAGCGTCCTTGGAGGCAACATGTGTGGTTTGGAACTTGGAGAGGAGGCCCTGGCATCAGAGAAGTGATGTCCCAAGTAAAAGGCCTTCTGAAGCCTGAGAGAGGGAATTGAAACCCAGAAGAAATTCGAAGTCTAAAGCGAACAACTCCAGGGGAGGGGGCTTGGAGACAGGAAAGATGGGGGGGGGCACCCGGAGGGAACGTCAGAGGGGTGAGGAGGCAGGAGGGAAAGGACCTCTCAGGAAAGATTCCCAGAGGTGGAGAGATTCTGACTGGGAGGAGAAACAGGAAGAGGTGTTATAAGGGAATTTGGGGGTAAGAGGCTGGGCTCTCCCTCAGCCCTTTTAGCTCTCCTCCCGCGTGCCCCATATATCTCTGGCTCTGCCCCTAGGTTGTGGCTGCCTAGTGAATTCCCTCCTCCCTACCTCCTGCCAAGCCCATGGCCTTTCCCTTCCTACTCAGGACCCCTAGCCTGCTAGGAAGTGGTTTTCCCTGGCTCAGCAGATGGAGTTCTTGGAAGGAGAGTGTAATATCCTGTTCCTTTACAGCTTGATTGGTTGGGGGAGGGAGGAATAGACTATCAGAGAATGAGACTTAGGAAAGAGAATGGACTCCCTGGAATGAGTAGGGGCTCCCACAGGGTAAGCTGGGGTCAGGGGGTCCACAGCAAAGCTTTTGGACTTCCAGCTGTGCTTTGTGGCTGTGAGACTTCTTTTCTCTGAGCTTTGGTTTTTTCATCTATAAAATGGTGTACACCTGCCCATCTCAAACAGACCTGGGCCGAAGGCAGGCTTCCTGCCTGGGTAAACTTGGGCCTTGGTTTTCTTAAAGTCAAATGATGGTGAATTATAATACCATTTAAGAACTAATACTTTTGTAACATTTAGTATGTGCTAGCCACAGTGCTACACCCTTTTTGTTTATTAACCCATGGATTGTCTTATGTGGGAGGTGCTCTCTGTATAATAGAAGGAGAAACTGAGGCCCAGAAAGGCTAGGTTACTTGCCCATGGACATACAGCTAAGAGGGCCAGCATTCATTCAGGCTCTGGAATCTGTGTGCTTAGCCACTTGGATGAAGCTGTCTCCATCATCATAGCTCATTGTAGTGAGCGCTCCGTATGTAATAGGCACTGTGCTAAGCACTTCTGGCATTAACTTGTTCTGTTTTCATAGTAGCCCTAGGAGGATTGACCTGGCCTTTCAGAATCTTAACAAATTTCCTAGCCCTCACTGATGATAATCATAGCTGACACAAAGCATGTGATCTGAGCCAGGCACTCTTCTAGATTCTTTTTTTTTTTTTTTTAAGATTTTATTTATTTATTCATGAGAAACACACAGTGGCAGAGACCTAGGCAGAGGGAGAAGCAGGTTCCCCTCAGGGAGCCAGATGACGGAACTTGATCTCAGGACCCCAGAATCACACCCTGAGCCAAAGGCAGATGCTCAACCACTGAGCCACCCAGGTGTCCGTAGATACTTTTCATATATTGTTTACATCTCATCATACATTTTCCAGGTGGATAAACTGAGGCACCAAGCAGTTACATCACTTGAGAAGTGGCAGATGCTTTGGAAAACAGCAGTGGCCAAAAAAGTTAGGCATAGCATTACCATATAACCCAGCGATTCCTCTCCTAGGTATAGGGCTAGCCAGGGGAAACATCAGTCCAAACAAATGTCCACGTAAAAGCTCGTGTGCGAATGTTCATAGCAGCCTTATTTGTAATCACCAAAAAGCGGAAATGACCCAAATGTCCATCAACTGATGGATGGATCAACAAAACAAGATATATCCATACAGTGGAACGGAACATAATTCAGCATTAAGAAGAAAGGACTTGTGGACACACACTACAGTGTGGATGAACTTTGAAAACATTGCCAAGGGACGCCTGGGTGGCTCAGTGGTTGAGCGTCTGCCTTGCCTCAGGGCATATCCAAGGGTCCTGGGATCAAATCCCACATTGGGGCCCCTGCATAGAGCCTGCTTCTCCCCTCTGCCTGTCTCTGCCTCTGTGTATCTCTCATTAATAAATAAAATTTAAAAAAAAAGAAAACATTGCCAAGGGGAAGAGGCCAAATACAAAAAGACCATGCATGTATTATATGATTCTGTTTATATGAAACCTCCAGAAGAGGCATAGCCATAGAGACAGGAGCATTATCTGTTGCCCGGAGCAGGGCAGTGGCTGCTAACCTGTGGAGATTTCTTCTTGGGATGATGAAAATATTGTAGAATTAGATAGTAGTGATTTTGGCAACATTATATACGAATATACTAAAAACCACTGAACTTCATGAAAAAAAATAATAAAAAAATAAAAACCACTGAACTGTACACATCTTAAATGGGTGAATTTTTAAGGCTTGGTAAGTAAAAAGAAAAAGGAACATTGAGGAGATCTCTGGGATTCAGACCAAAGAAGTCTGGAACTCAAAGATTTCTTAGAAATTTGTATTTATTTATTTAAGTCCTCTCTCCACCAAACATGGGGCTTGAACTCACAACCCTAAGATCGAGTCCCTGCGCCTCCCGTTGAGCCCTGTGCCTCCCGTTGTGCCAGCCGGGAGCTCTGCAATGCAAACATTTATTGAATGCCTGTTGTGTGCCAGCTACTGAATTAAGTTTAAAACATTTAAGTGCAGAACACCCTGACGAGATGGGTCCTCTAAGGAAACTGATTCTGCAGGCAGGGGTGGGTGGGGGTGGGTGGGTGTTGAATCCTTGCTCCAAGGTCAAGCAGAGAAGGGAGTGGAGCCTGGGGCTGACAGGGGAGTTGGCCGGTGGAAGCAGTCATTCCTCTAGGGTGAGTGCTCGCTTCGGCAGCACATATACTAAAATCATTCCTCTAGGGTGTTGGGACCTGGGGTGGGAGTGTGTGGCCAGGCCAGCCAGACCAGGCTGCAGCCTAAACAGCTGCAGGAGGTGTGGACCCTACCCAGTGGGGCTGTTGGGCGGGCTACCCAGCGCTGGTCAGCTCTCCTTCCCTCCCCCCTCACCTCCTCCACCTCCTCTCCGCCTACTCGCAGATCCGCTTCATCCTCATCCAGAACCGGGCGGGCAAGACGCGCCTGGCCAAGTGGTACATGCAGTTCGATGACGATGAGAAACAGAAGTTGATCGAAGAGGTGCATGCTGTGGTCACCGTCCGAGATGCCAAACACACCAACTTTGTGGAGGTGATACTCCCCTCACGCTTGCCACACTCGCCTTGTTCCTCTGCCCATCCTGCCCAGCCGCCAACTGCAGTAATCCCCAGACCTGTTTCCTTCCTATGTTCATATCCTCAGCCTGCTTTTGGCCTGCTGTCTTCCTTTCTTTGAGGGGAGGGGGAGACCTTTTCGTTGTGATCATTTTCTTTTTTTTTTTAAGATGTTATTTATTTATTCATAAGAGATAGAGGCAGAGACATAGGCAGACAGAGAAGTAGGCTCCCTGTGGGGGGCCTGATGCAGAACTTGAACCCAGTACCGTGGGATCATGCCCTGAGCCAAAGGCCGAAGCTCAACCATCGAACCACCCAGGTGATATTTATTCAACATCACTATTTTGTGAAACATCCTTCAAACATACAAGATACTCCTTAAACATGTAATTCCACACGGACACAAATTTGTATACAGTCACTACCTCTTTAGAACCTTCAGTGTGTCAGCTATATATGTTTAGTATTGGGATTGTATTAAGAACAAGAATAGTATAATCCTTGAATTATACAAGAATAGAACAAGAACAAGAATAGTATAATCCATGTTCTTAGTGAATTTGCAACCTTGGAAATTTCTTTCAAAAAGCTTCCATTTTAGTAATGAAAACTATTAAAGGAATTGGACAGGTTAGAAAAAATTTAATGGATATTTAGCTATGAAAGAAGATATTTATTAGACATTAACTCTTATTATGATTTAACTTTTAGGATCCCTGGGTGGTGCAGCGGTTTGGCGCCTGCCTTTGGCCCAGGGCGCGATCCTGGAGACCCGGGATCGAATCCCACATTGGGCTCCCGGTGCATGGAGCCTGCTTCTCCCTCTGCCTATGTTTCTGCCCCTCTCTCTTTCTCTTTCTGTGACTATCATAAATTAAAAAAAAAAAGAAAAAAAATCTTTAAAAAAAATGATTTAACTTTTTTTAAATTTAAATTCAGTTAATTAACATATACTGTATTACTGGTTTCAGAGGTAGAGGTCAGTGATTCGTCAATCTTATGTAACACCCAGTGCTCATTATACCATGTGCTCTCTTTAATACCCATCACCCAGTTACCCATCCCCCCCCACCTCCCTCTAGCAACTCTGTTTCCTATCATTAAGAGTCTTTTATGGTTTATCTCCCTCTCTGATTTCATCTTGTTTTATTTTTTCCTTCCTTCCCCTATGATCCTCTGTTTTGTTTCTTAAATTCCACAAATGAGTGAGATCGTATAATAATTGTCTTTCTTTGATTGACTATTTCACTTAGAATAATACCCTCTGGTTTCATCCACATCATTGCAAATGGCAATATTTCATTTTTTTGATGGCTGAGTAGTATTCCATTGTGTGTGTGTGTGTGTGTGTGTGTGTATATATATATATCACATCTTCTTTATCCATTCATCCATCGACATGGGCTCTTTCCATAGTTTGGCTATTGTGGACATTGCTGCTATACACGTTGGGGTGCAGGTGCCCCTTTGGATCACTACACTTGTATCCTTGGGGTAAAAATACCTATTTAAACTTTTAAAAAATATTTTATGTATTTATTTATTCATGAGAGACAGAGAGAGAGAGAGGCAGAAACACAGGCAGAGGGAGAAGCAGATTCCATGCAGGGAGCCCAATGCAGGACTCGATCCCAGGTCTCCAGGATCAGGCCCTGGGCTGAAGGTGGCGCTAAACTGCTGAGCCACCAGGCTGCCCCATAAGTTTTTTGTTTTGTTTTTTTTGTTGTTGTTGTTGTTTTTGTTGTTGTGTTGTTTGTTTTGCCCCATAAGTTTTTATTTTTAAGTCAGCTCCACACCCAGCATGGGGCCTGAATTCACAACCCTGAGATCAAGGGTCACATGCTCTACCACCTGAGCCAGCCAGGTGCCCCTCTTTGGTCTCCTTAAATTGAGAAGGCTCTGTCTTTAATTTCCATGGCATCAGCTGGGCTAGTTGTCCTATAAATTCAACACATTTATCAGGGTTTTGCTGTATGGAGGCACTATTCTAGGAGCAGGAACAGGACAGACCCAAGTCCCTGCCCTGGGAGAGCTGATGTTCTGGTGGGAGGGAGATGGATAGAAAAGACAGAGCATAGCAGGAGGTGAGAGGTGCCAGGGGGAAGAAGCAGCCACTGTGGGAGATGAGAGTGCTGGGGTGTGTACATTGGGGGTTGGAATGCAGGTGTAAATAAATGATTTAGGAAGTCTGGAAAAGGTAGCTTTGGAACCAAGACCTAAAGGAGTTGAAAGAGTGGAAGGAGAGGATATCTGAAAGGGAGCACTCCACACCCAGGAAATGGCAAGTGCAAAGGCCCTGAGGTGAGGACGTGTTGGACATTCCTGGAATAGCAAGAAGGCCACCATTCTGAGGGAATGTAAACCAGCGAGGGGGGTGGGGCCGAGGAGGTCAAAGAGATAGCAGGGACGAATGGGGCAGGGCCTCTTCCAAGGTGGCAGCCTCAAGAGGGTTTTGAGCAGAGGGGGGCAGGTGTGGGCCAACTTAGCAAAGAGCAGGTTGAGGGTGAAGACCAGGAGTGAGGTATCTGTTCACACCCCCACAGAGAATCCAGGAGGGAGTGATGAGTCAGCGTGCAGAGAGGGCAGGATGCCACAATGTGGAAAGTTCTGCACACAGAGGGCAAGGAAGCCTGCGGGACTTACCAGAGGAGGGACGAGTGACAGAGGGACACAGAGAGGGATCCCTGGGTGGCGCAGCGGTTTGGCACCTGCCTTTGGCCCAGGGCACGATCCTGGAGACCCGGGATCGAATCCCACATCGGGCTCCCGGTGCATGGAGCCTGCTTCTCCCTCTGCCTGTGTCTCTGCCTCTCTCTCTCTCTGTAACTATCATAAATAAAAAAATTTAAAAAAAAAAAAAAAGAGGGACACAGGAGAGAAGAGAAGCCATATCTAGAGGTGGGAGATGAGGAGGTAGAGGAGAACCAGGAGATATGGGGGGAGGTCGGCAGCCTTAAGCAAAGGGTTTCCAGGAGGGGGGCCTTGCGGGGAGCAGGGCAATGGGGCCAGAGCAGGTGCAGGACAGAATGAGGGGGCGCACGCCCACTCCCCTGGGCTGTCCTGCCACCAGCACAGCATCTTATCTCCCACTGTGCATTGTGGGGACTGAGACAGCCCTGTGAGCAACACAGACCTGTCCCCAGATGAGGACTACCCAGAGGGATCAGGGCTGCAGGGCTGGGACGGAGCAGCCCACTAGGACGAGAGCATCTGCCTCAGGCTGGGGGTCAGATAGGACTTCCCAGAGGAGGGAGTGCTGTAGGGAACAAGAGAGAATTGGTCCCTCCCCCAACACACTGGGGAGGGTCTGGGGGAGGAGACACTAAATAATGTCTCTCCTATGAGATTGAGGTCAGGGCAGGCTTCCTGGAGGAGGACTTGTAAGAGTAAAACCAAAAGCTGATATCCAGTGAAGAAGGTCCAGGCCTCCCAAACTTTCTTCCTCTTGTTTGTTCATTAATGAGGTTATTCTTTTTTGTGTGTGTGTATGTGTTTTTTTTTTTAACCTCTGTTAGTTTCTTATTGCTGTGGTAACAAATCCTACAAATATAGTGACTCAAAACAACATGATTTGTTGTTTTAAACAGTTCTTTTTTTTTTTTTTTAAAACAGTTCTTGAGGTCAGGTGTCCAAAACAGGTCAGGAGGGCTGGGTTCCCTCTGCAGGCCCTGGGGAGAATCCATTTGCTTGCCTTTACCCGCTTCTGGAGGCAGCCTGCGTGCCCCAGAGAGTGGCCCCTTCACCAGCCTCAAAGCCAACCACATCTCACCTTAAAATCACTCCATCTGACTTGTACACTTCTGTCCTCCTCTTTCCCTGATAAGGACCCCTGTGATTACTCTGGGCCCATCTGGATCATCCAGGATCCCCCAGCTCAAGATCCTTAGTATAATCACACCTCCACAGTCCCTTTTGCCGTGTAAGGTCACCCGTTCCCAGGTTCCGGGGGTCAGGATGTGGACCTCTTCATGTGCAGGGCCATGCTGGGGACACAGCAGGCACAGCACCAGCTCACGGTCCAATGAGACACACCTGTCCCAGACAGTGATGCCCAGAGTGGTCAGGTGGGGGAAGGGGGCCCAATGGGTAGGGGAGTACAGACAGGTAACTCACCCCAGCCTTCAGGAAGAGACTTATCTGAGAGTGTATAGGGGGAGAAGCCATGAGGGCCTGCGCCAGATCCCTGAGAAGCCTGCAATTTATTTTTTTAAACTTTTTTTTTTTTAAAGATTTTATTTATTCATGAGAGACACAGAGAGAGAGAGGCAGAGACACAGGCAGAGGGAGAAGCAGGCTCCATGCAGGGAGTCTGATGTGGGACTCAATCCCGGGACTCCGGGATCATGCCCTGAGCCGAAGGCAGGTGCTAAACTGCTGAGCCACCCAGGGATCCCAAGCCTGCAAATTTAAAGCCAAGGTGTAGGGATCCCTGGGTGGCGCAGCGGTTTAGCGCCTGCCTTTGGCCCAGGGCATGATCCTGGAGACCCGGGATCAAATCTCACGTCGGGCTCCCTGCATCGAGGCTGCTTCTCCCTCTGCCCATGTCTCTGCCTCTCAGTGTCCCTCATGAATAAATAAATAAAATCTTAAGATTTTATCCAGGTGCCCGTATACCAAGTTTATTTTTTTAATTTTTATTTTTTAAAGATTTTATTTATTCATAGAGACACGGGGTGGTGGGGGGCAGAGACACAGGCAGAGGGAGAAGCAGGCTCCATGCAGGGAGCCCGATGTGAGACTCGATCCCAGGTCTCCAGGATCACACCCGGGGCTGCAAGCGGCACTAAACCGCTAAGCCACCAGGGTTGCCCCTATAACAAGTTTAAAAAGAAAAAAAGTAGGGGCTCCTGGTTGTCTCTGTCAGCAGAATGTGCAACTTTTGACCTCTGGGTCCTGAGTTTGAGCTCCGTGTTAGGTGTGGAACTACCTAAAAAAAAGAAAAGAAAGAAAGAAAAGAAAAGAAAAAAGTAGAGTTTAGAGTTTTCACCCTGATATGTGCTTATTAATCCGTGGATTATGTGCAGGAATTACTACAGTGATGTCAGAAAATGTACTCAAAGTATAGAAATTAACCAAAGAATGAGCTGGGGGGAGAAAAAGTCTAGGGGACGCCTGGGTGGCTCAGTGGTTGAGCATCTGCCTTTGGTTCGGGTCATGATCCCTGGGTCCCCAGATCGAGTCCCACATCGGGCTCCCTGCAGGGAGCCTGCTTCTCCCTCTGTCTGTGTCTCTCGTGAATAAATAAAATCTTACTTAAAAAAAGTTTAAAAATCAGGGACTGATGTTGGCTTTTGCAGTTGCCAGAAGGTGGCGACAGAACACACCAGACCCAGGGCTGGGACTTTTCCAGATTTTGCCCAAGGATCTTGTGCTTAGCAAACCAGTCCGCTGGTCTCTAAACCTGTCTCTTTATCATCTTTCCCTCACGTAAGATTACGGTCTGTATCCTTGGTCCACATGTATTTATTCCTGGGCTGTATGTATGTGTTAGCGTAGAAATATTTATATTTTACATTACAGTTCAGTTCAGGGTAAGGCTGGGATGGTCTTGGTTATAAGCAGTGACTGCACTGCCCTGCACAGAGCCCGCCCCCAGGTAGTGTTTGTGGAATGATGGCATGAGTTAGTTCCAGGCTAAGGAATTCGACTTTCTCCAGAGGCGACAGGCAGGGAGCCACGGAAAGGTGAGGTAGATGTCGTGGAACACCCCAGCCTCCCTCTTGGCTCTGGGCTTTTTCTCACAAGCTGTTCCCTCTGCCTGGAGCACTCCTGCTCATATTCCAGGTCTTGGTCCAGATGCCCCCTCCTCCCAAAAGCCCTCCTGGGTCTCCAGGCTGGGTTAGCTGCCCACGATGGGGAGTACTGAGGAGGAATCTCTCTGCACTGGACTGTGAGCCCCAGTGGCGGGGGCTGGGTCCCGTCTCAGTCACCTCTGTGTCCCCCGCACTGGGCCGGACAGAGCAGGGCTTCAGGGACCAGGCGTGGGGTGAAGGACTGACTCCTGGCCCCATGCTGCCCCGCACTGTTGGGTTCTGGGCCGCCCAGTTGCTGACAGCGTCTCTGCCCCACAGTTCCGGAACTTCAAGATCATTTACCGACGCTATGCCGGCCTCTACTTCTGCATCTGCGTGGATGTCAATGACAACAACCTGGCCTACCTGGAAGCCATCCACAACTTCGTGGAGGTGCGAGGGTGGGCTGCGGCCCCAGGGGCCCTGGAGCCCCCAGAACCAGACCTGGTCTCCCCAGGCAGGGTGCACAAACCCTCTCCCCACATCCCCGGGTGGGCAGCCAGCCTCCCTCTGTCCCTCTCTGCCCACGTGGTTCCTCTTTCTCCCTCCACCTGTGTCCGGTCAGTCTTCCCTGCCATCCTTTTCTGTTGCTATGTGATCGTCCTTGTTGTTTCTGGCTCTGACTGTCTTTGTCCTGGTGTCTCTTCCCCTCCCCTTCCGCACTTCCTCTTGGTCTCTCTTTTACCATCTCTTTTTCGGAGGGAGGGGTGACCTTGGCTCCCATGTGCAGCCCTGTGTGGCCCTGTGTGCCTCCCTCTGCCCAGCTCTCACCATCTCTGCCTTCTTTCCCAGGTCTTAAATGAGTATTTCCACAATGTCTGTGAACTGGACCTGGTGTTCAATTTCTACAAGGTGGGCTCCTGGTGAAGACGAGGGTGTAAGGGGGGGTCAGAGCCCCCAGCTTCCATCAGAGGTTCAGACAAGCACCTGTTGAGGGAGGGGGAGAGAGGAAGAGCCCTCCCCTCACAGTGGGGTCTCCTGCCCTCCCTTCGCTCAGGTTTACACGGTCGTGGACGAGATGTTCCTGGCCGGCGAGATCCGAGAGACCAGCCAGACGAAGGTGCTGAAACAATTGCTGATGCTCCAGTCACTGGAGTGAGGGCAGCCGGCCCCTGCGCCCCGGCCCCTCACTCCCTGCTCGCCCCTCTCCAGGCCGGGGCTGCCCAGTGCCCTCCCTCACCTGCCCAGGAGGAAGGCCCACAGCTGGGCCTGGGCCACCAGGGAGGAGACTGCACCCCACTGCCTCTGGGCCCACCCAGGGGCGGAGGCCATCTCGCGTGTTCCGAGTAACCGTGACGTTGTCGTGTGACGCTGTGAGTGCGTGTGTGTGGAGCCCCCAATAAACCCATGGTCTCGCCTGGCCTGTGTCTTGGAGCCCTTGCCGGTCTGCCCTGGGGACCCCGGACACTCGGGACACCCTCCCATCAGTGTGCAAGGCAGTCGGTCAGCAAACACTCCTTGGCCTGAGAGTGGCAGTTGGCCCAGATGCGTTCACCTGGGCCGCCGCCCACAGAGGGCTCCTGAGACTGGAAGGGGAGATAGATTTATTTATTTATTTATTTATTTATTTATTTATTTATTTATTTATTTATTTATTTATTTAAAGATTTATTTTTATTTATTTATGGTAGAGAGAGAGAGAGGCAGAGACACAGGCAGAGGGAGAAGCAGGCTCCATGCCAGGAGCCCAACGTGGGACTCGATCCCGGATCTCCAGGATCGCGCCCCAGGCCAAAGGCAGGCATGAAACCGCTGAGCCACCCAGGGATCCCGGGGAGATAGATTTAGACCCTGGGCACCTGCTACTAAAATAATAATCCTCCTGGCCAACACCTAATAGTGTCACGCGTCTCCCACGTGCTGTTCAAAGTGTCCCAAGTATTATCTTCCCTCATCGTAAGATCCTGAGGAAACAACCAGTGTCTGCCCATTTTCCAGGTGAGATCACTCATCCCAGGACCATGAAAAGGCTTGGCCAAGGTCATGTCACTAGTGTGGCTAAGCCAGGTTTGTTCTAAGCCCAGGCAGTTGGCTCCAGAATCCTCATTTTTAACCCCCAGACTGGGTGGCTGTTGGGAGCACAGGCTCTGGGCCTCACTGTTCGTGGTTCTCAGCAACAGCCCTGCTGGCCTTGGGGTCAGACCATTTTCCACTGAGTGACACTGTCCCAGCGGCCCCTGGACTGTTGGCCTCCACCTACCACGTACCAGCAACAGCCCTCTGGCCACCGTAACAACGTGGCCACGGCCATGGCATGTTTCTAGGCCCCCCCGGAGTGGCAGTGCCTTCCTGCCCCCTGCCCTGCACCGAGAGCTGAGGATGGCTGCTGGCCGCACCCATGATCAGCACTTGTGCCAAGCTGAGAACGTCGCCAGGCATCAGGGTCTGCTCTTATCAACATCACACAGCCCCGTGCCAGCATCCCAATGACAAGAGGTGGCCCTGGCCCAGCTCAGCCACATGCATGCTGTGTAACCTTTGGGCAAGTCCCTTAACCTTTTGCCTCAGTTCTTCATCTTGAAAATGGGTTGATATTGTTGTTTTTTAACTACACTCTGCACCCAATGTGGATCCCAATACGAGGCTTGAACTCACAACTTTGAGATCAAGATCTGAGATGAGATCAAGAGTTGGCCATTTAACCGACCGAGCCACCTTGGCGTCCCCAATCATAGTCTTGATCCCACAGGGTGTGCTTGAGAATTAAGTTAATCCTAGGAAAGTTTAGGAGGCACCTGACTGACCAGTGGTGGAGGAGGCAGATTTGAGTGAGGCTCGGGTGGATTTGCAGCCAGGGCGAGGGGGTGGGAGGCAAGGCCCTCCCTGAGATGGGGAACAGGCAGGTCGGTGGTGGCTTTGGGGGGGGTACTGAGGTTATCAGGACACGTGAGTGTGTGTCCTGGAGCCCCGGCAGCACGTGACCACAAACTGGGTGTCGTAAAACGAGAAATCAAGCTCCTCATACTTCTGGGGGCCAGAAGTCTGAAATCAAGGTGCCAGCAGGGCCGCAGTCCCTCCACACACCCTAGAGGAGGATCATCCTTTATCTCTTTCAGTTTCTCAAGGCTGCTGACCTGCCCTGAATGGGCCCAGGTCCCCCCCCCCAAGTCTCTGCCTTCATTGTCACGTGCGCTTTCCTCTGTGCCTGCACCTTCTCCTTGCCTTCTTCTTACCACCTGTCATTGGATTTAGGGTCTACCAGGATAATCCACGTGATCTCATCCCAAGATCCTTTAACTGTATCTGCAAAGGTCCTTTTTCCCAAAGGGTCATGATCACAGGCTCCAGGACGTGGACATATTTTGGGAGGGGGCCGCCCTCCATCACTAGAGAGTCTGAAGATACTGCGGGGTCATCCAGGAAAGGTGATCAGGACCCTTTTGCACACACAGACCTGAGGTTCAGAGAGGGAGGGATGCAGGGAGCGTTTGCTTGTTGTGTATTCAACAAATGTTTCTTGGGCACCTACTATGTGCCAGACACTGGTTAACACTGCCCCCCCCACCCCCCGGGGAGGGTACCACAGTGAGCAGGACAGGTCTCCTGAGGGTGATGGGGCAATGGATAAGTAAGCAAATCGATAGCTGGTATGTCACAAAGTAAGGACTGCTGTGGAGGCAAATAAAACAGCAAGGGGGTAGAGAAGCAGATGGCACTCCTGTTCTAGACGATGGTCAGGAAAGCCTCTCTGGGGGCAGCCCGGGTGGCTCAGCGGTTTAGCACCGCCTTCAGCCCAGGGCCTGATCCTGGAGACCGAGGATCGAGTCCCACATCGGGCTCCCTGCATGGAGCCTGCTTCTCCTTTTGCCTGTGTCTCTGCCTCTCTCCTCTCTCTCTCTCTCTCTCTCTCTCTCTGTGTGTGTGTGTGTGTGTGTGTGTCTCATGAATAAATAAAATCTTAAAAAAAAAAAAAGGAAAGCCTCTCTGGAGCAGGTGACACTGAGCTGAGGGTCAAAGGGGTGAAGGAATGAATGAACTGTGGGAGATTTTAGGGGAAGAAGTCTGTTCCAAGTAGAAGGAATAGCAGGTGCAAAGGCCCTGAGGCAGAACATGCAAGGAGGCCAGCTTGGCGGGAACAGAGTGAGCAAAATGGAGAGTAGAGGTGATGTGTTCAGAAAATAGAGGGTTTGTGGTAAGGGGGTGGGAGGAGGCAGACGGCAGCAAGCCAACAGCCATGGTAGGGACACTGGGTTTGTTCTGTGTGAACCACAGGAAGGAGTTTTTGTTTGGAGGGTTTGGGGAGAGGGCAGTAACAGCTTTGCTGAGATACAATTCACATACCATACAATTCACCCCCTTAAAAGGTACAATTCAGCAGTTTCCAATATATTCACAGACTTGTGTTACCATCACCACTATCGATTGTAGAATATTCTTTTTTTTTCTTTTTAAAGATTTTATTTATTTATTCATGAGAGACACACAGAAAGAAAGAGAGAGGCAGAGACACAGGCAGAGAGAGAAGCAGGCTCCATGCAGGGAGCCCGACACGGGACTCGATCCCAGGTCTCCAGGATCAGGTCCTGGGCGGAAGGTGGCGCCAAACCGCTGAGCCACCCGGGCTGCCCTCTGGGCATGTTTTGAAGGCAGAATCAGGATTGCTGACAATGTGATGTAATCTGGGGGAGAAACCAAGGATCGCTCCCCATTACAGCCTGAGCATCTGGACCACCCGAATCTCCTTTTCCAGGGGCGCAGAGACAGTGGGAAGGACATGTCAAGTCTGCGATCTTGGGTCTCCACTGAGGGGCAGTGGTTATGTGGGTCTGGAGCTTAGGGGAGAGGTCCCGGCGGGAGATGGACATTTGAAAGTCTCTGGAACACTGATACTACTTACTGCCGGGAGGTCTGAGGTCACCAAGGGGTCGGCATGGAGAGAGGGAAGAGATTTGCAGACTGGGGGTGGCCATGGGCGGGGGTGGGGGAGGTGGAGATCAAAGTATAACAGAAGGAACAGCCAGTGAGAAGGAAGGAAAACCATCCAGTGCAGCGTGATTGAATCAAAGGAAAAGGGGGCTCAGGAGGAGACGGTACCCTTGAGTTCAGAGCTGTTAGCTATCAGATTGGCTCATTTTCGGGTCATCCTTGCGCCGGGGCCACACTAATCTCTGTTTCATTCCACTTCTAGTATATGTGCTGCCCAAGCGAGCGTTGAAATGGCTCATGGAAAAATACCTACTGCCCGGGTGCCTGGGGGGCTCAGGGGTGGAGCGTCTGCCTTTGGCTCAGGTCGTGATCCCAGGGTCCTGGGATCAAGTCCCGCATTGGACTCCCTGCATGGAGACTGCTTCTCCCTCTGTGTCTCTGCCTCTCTCTGTGTCTCTCATGAATAAATAAATAAATAAATAAGTTTTAAAAAGATTTATTTATTTTAGAGAAGGGGAGAGAGAGAGAGCAAGCATGGAGAATTCGAAGCAGATTCCACTACTCAGAGCCCGATGCAGGGCTCTATCCCAGGACCCTAATATTATGACCTAAACAGAAATCAAGAGTCAGAGATTTAGGGGCACCCGGGTGGCTCAGTCAGTGAAGCGTCTGCCTTTGTTTCAGGTCATGATCTCAAGGTCCTGGGATAGAGCCCCAAGTTGGGCTTCCTGCTCAGTGTGGAGCCTGCTTCTCCCTCTGCCCCTCCACCACTCATTCTTTCTCTTTCTCTCTCTCTCTCTCAAATAAAAGTTAAAAACAAAAGTCAGATATTTAATTGACTGTGCCATCCAGATACCCCTAAAAAGGATGAATTCTAGAGTATGCAACTTATACCTCATTAATCTGACTTTTAAAAATGCTCCTAAAAAAAAAAAAAAAAAAAGATGCTCCCGAAGGCCAAATGTTGGCCAACTGATGAATGGACAAACAAAACCTGTACCCCTACAATGGAATGTTATTCAGCCACAGAAAAGAAAGAAATCCCAACACATGCTATGACATGGATGAACCTTGAAAATACGCTGAGTGAGAGAAGCCAGAGAAGAGCACAGAATGTAGGATTCCATGTATGTGAAATGTCCAGAAAAGGCAGGTGCACAGAGATAGAAAGTGCATTAGTGGTTGCCGGAGACTAGGGGGAGGGAGAAATGAGAGTCACTGCTCAGTGCATAGGGGATTTCCTTTTGGGGGGTGATGGAATGTTCTGGAGCTATGTGGTAATGGTAGTTGCGCACTCTAGTGAATATATGAAAAATGACTGAATTGTGCCTTTATTTTTTAAACTAAAAAAAAAAGATTTTATGTATTCATGAAAGACATACAGGGAGAGGCAGAGACACAGGCAGAGGGAGAAGCAGGCTCCCTGCAGGGAGCCCAACACGGGACTCGATCCCAGAACTCTGGGATCATGACCTGAGCCACAGGTAGACACTTA